CCTACATATGACCCCCAAAGTCCTGTGGAGTTTTCCCTCCTTAATATTTATCTCACCCAGCCCCTCCGTACACATCGCTGCCTGGAACCAGGCTGTCACCACGCCTTGCCTGGGTGATATAATGTCCTCACCCAGGACATCTTGATGCTTCCTGTGTGACCCCCCCAGCCATCCTTTTACATGGCTTTCAAGGTGACCAGACTACATCATAAAACTGCTCCTTTAATGCCTCTTTGCAATTTCCAGGGTGAAGTCCAAATTCCTGAACTTAACACATACAGCAGAACTTCATAATCTGGGCCTCACTCCCCTACTCAGTTTCACATCCTGCCTCTCCCCACATGCAAATACTTTTGCACATTCTGTTCCCTTTGCCTAGGACACCCTTCCTACTCTCTTAGTTAGAATTTTTTTTTTTTTTTTTTTTGGTGGTAAAATAGACGTAACATTAAAAATTTACCATTCTAATCCCATTCTCTTTGTCTACCTCCTCCCTACTACTTGTCCTTTGAATTTAACAGAAGTGACCTTTTTTTTTTTTCTTGGCTCAATGCAACCTCCGCCTCCAGGGTTCGAGCGATTCTACTGCCTCATCCTCCTGAGTAGCTGGGATTACAGGCACACGCCACCACGCCCAACTAATTTTTGAATTTTTAGTAGAGACGGGGTTTCACCATGTTGGTCAGGCTGGTCTTGAACTCCTGACCTCGTGATCCACCTGCCTGGACTTCCCAAAGTGCTGGGATTACAGGTGTGAGCCACCACACCTGGCCGGAAGTGACCTCTTTTGAAAAAACCCTTTCTGAGTCCTCAGCCTGGGTTAGATGCCCTTCTCCTTTGCTACTGATCTCATAGTCCTTATCACTTTGTACTGTGTTAGCTTATGTTTCTATTTACAGACTCCCTAAGACAGTGTCTGTATCTTAACTTTGTATCTCCAGGGCTGCAGTGTACAGTTGTATAGGTTATGCACTGGGAGAGGAAGCCTGGCTAAGGAAGTGAGCAGGGGATGAAGGCCATTAGTCAACTGTGCACTTGGTACAGGCCTGCAACCAGACCGTTTTCTAATTTGCACAAAGGTGCTTGTGTGACATCAGCGGGCCCTGTGTACCCCCCATGCTTGTTGTAGAGTTGGCACACGTAGTCTTACAATAAGTGCTCATTAAATGTTGAGTAAAGATGGCTGGATGTTCCAGGCAAAGGTAGCAGGGGTAGAGACAGGGGGAAATCTGGCATAATAGGGTGGTATTGGATATTCAGTATTGACTTAGGGGGGTTGCAGCTAGTTGGCAGAGGGTCCCTTATGTTGGGCTGAGGGACTAACTCTTTAATTCAGGAAGCAGTGAGGAACTTTGTGAATTTTTGATAGGACTGTGATATAGAATTTCAAAATATTGGCCGGGCGCGGTGGCTCAAGCCTGTAATCCCAGCACTTTGGGAGGCCGAGACGGGTGGATCATGAGGTCAGGAGATCGAGACCATCCTGGTGAACACAGTGAAACCCCGTCTCTACTAAAACTACAAAAAACTAGCCGGGCGAGGTGGCAGGCGCCTGTAGTCACAGCTACTCGGGAGGCTGAGGCAGGAGAATGGCGTGAACCCGGGAGGCGGAGCTTGCAGTGAGCTGAGATCTGGCCACTGCACTCCAGCCTGGGCGACAGAGCGAGACTCCGTCTCAAAAAAAAAAAAAAAAAAAAAAAAAAAGAATTTCAAAATATTCAGGCTTGAAAATGAGACTCAGAGAAGTAAAGTGACTTGTTCAAGGACACACAGAAAGTTAGAGGCAGGGCCCAGACTTGAACTTGCTTTTCCTGCTCCTAGCTCAGTACAGGTCTGGGGAGCTGCACTCTGGGATACCTCTCAACTGAGGCTGAGCCCTCTAAGGCTCAAAGCCAAATCTTCCCAGCCTTGGAGACTCTATCTCTTCCCGGACACATGTTCCTGGACGTGGTGGGTAGATGGACGACAGCCAGGCAGATGGGAGGTGAGGACAGTTAGGTCTCGAGACCACTGCAGTCCATGGTTCGGCCTCATTCATGGCGCACCACTTGTTCTGTCCTCAGAATATTTACCGACTTGAAGGCATGGCAAATTACCCATGCTTTTCTCTTCTTCCCACAGGTAAGCACTCTAGTCTTTTCACTACGAGCTATCTCCCTCCTTACAAATCTCTTGGTTGCTCATCTCTGGACCTGGGCTAGTTTTTTCAGTTTCTCTCTTTCTTTCTCTCTCTCTCTCTTTCTTTCTCTCTTTCTTTCTTTCTTTTCTGAGACAGAGTCTTGCCCTGTTGCCCAGGCTGGAGTGCAATGGAGCAATCTCGGCTCACTGCAACTTCTACCTCCCAGGTTCAAGCATTTCTCCTGCCTCAGCCTCCTGAGTAGCTGGGATTACAGGTGCGTGTCACCATGCCTGGCTAATTTTTTGTATCTTTAGTGGAGACGGGGTTTCAGCATGCTGGCCAGGCTCGTGTCGAACTCCTGACCTCGTGATCTGCCCATCTCAGCCTCCCAAAGTACTGGGAATACAGATGTGACCCACTGCACCCAGCCAGATTCTTTCAAAACCACTTTTTGCCCCTAGCTGAAGGGGACTTTACTGTGGCATGTCTTAAGAAGTGTGTGTTGAGTTGGACTGGATTGAGTGTGGACAATGATTTGAACCCAGTGGTCGCCCTGAAGGTTTGCCTTTTGGGCAGGTGCTTTTTGGTGCCGTGGGGCTACAAGAGACCTCTCATTTGCTCTTTTACAAGGAGCGTTCATTGATGATCTTCCCCGAGCTCCCTGGGTCTCCTCCTGACTTATGTGCTCCTTCCCTGGCTTTTCTTATTTTGTTTCTCTGTAGCTCATTTCTGGACTCTGAATAAATTATTTAATCATTTTTATCTTCACTCTGAGTCTGAAGAGCCATTACTCTAATATTTTTTAGAGAGATTTGACTTGTCAATTTTTATCCCAGGATGGAAGCGCTGTCCTTTGGCACTCATGATGATATAATAATAATAACGATGACATTATGCTAAATTATTTATTGAATATATACTATGATCCAGATACTGTGCCTGCTGCTTTATAAAAATTAGCTCACTTAATCCTCACAACAATCCCATGGAATAGAGCTATTATTGGCCCCACTTTACAGATGAGGAAATGGAAGCACAACACAATCAAATAACTTGCCCAAGGTCACCCAGCTGAAATTTGTGTCCAGGCCAGTGACTTCAGAGCTTGTGGTTACATCGGGATACCACGCAGCCCCAGTAAATAAACTCTCAGGCACATTCTCAGGTCACAGATAAGACAGATTGCAGGGTAGTGACTGGGAGACTCACATCGCCGGTGGGTGGGCAACCACCAGACTCAGGCTGAGTCTTCCCTAACCAGCTACAGCCTCCTGCAGGATGGACCTGCAATCCCAACAACCCGAGGAGAACAAAGCTTGTCCATGAGGCCCAGCTGCGTGGCAGGCAACTCCTCCACAGCCATGCCTATACCATTCCACTCCATCACAAGAGGCTCTGTAATTGATCTGACATAATTAGCTCTTTACTAAGTCATCATAATTTCCAGTGTGCAGTGACAAACCCACTGATGGATGATTTTACTCCACAGCTTGCCTAGGTATGAACTTAAGTGCAATTAACTGTCATTAATTGATGGAACACTTTTTTTCTTTAAATACATAAAAGAGATGGACTCCACACTTATCCCTTCTCTGCCTTCTCAAGGCTTGAAAGATAAGCATAGAGGTGCTGTCAGAAGCCAGTTCCTTAAGTACTCCAAGCTGGGTGCCAACAGCATTTGAAGATACTCATCTTCCTTGTTTTAAGTTTGGCTTCCTAACTGTCTGTTCCACAGGCAACCTTTTCTGACTTTTTAGTAAGGGCTGAGATAACCAAATGAATTAAAAGCCTCAGATTTTTTTTTTTAATTTTTTTTGAGACAGAGTCTCACTTTGTCATCCAGGCTGGAGTGCAGTGGCACAATCTCGGCTCACTGCAACCTCTGCCTCCTGGGATGAAGCAACTCTCCTGCTTCAGCCTCCCGAGTAGCTGGGATTACAGGCATGCACCACTATGCCCAGCTAATTTTTGTATTTTTAGTAGAGATGGGGTTTCACCACATTCGTCAGGCTGCTCTTGAACTCCTGACCTCAAGTGATCTGCCCACCTCAGTCTCCCAAAGTGCTGGGATTGCAGGCGTGAGCCATCACGCCTGGTCAAAAGCCTCTGATTTTCCCACTGATTTTCCACTCTTTTTCCACTGATTTTCCACTATTCCACTATTCCACAGGACCTGGGACCCAGTGCTGGGGGTAGGGCCGCGGCCTTGCTCCACACCAGGCAGACTGTCAGTGCTTTTGATTTTACACCAGAGCTTCTCTTCACTGGGGTAGAAAATTGAGAGGTGGCTGCAGAACTGAGAAATATTTCCCTGTTACCCTTTTCTTAGACACAACTTGGCTCAACTCTCAAGAGAATAAAAAAATTCCCCATCAGGCATAGGGTATATATATAAATATTTTTGAGACAGAGTTTTGCTGTCGCCTAGGCTGGAGTGCAGTGGCGCGATCTCGGCTCACCACAACTCCGCCTCCTGGGTTCAAGCAATTCTCCTGCTTCAGCCTCCTGAGTTGCTGGGATTACAGATACATGCCACCATGCCTCGCTAATTTTTGTATTTTTAATAGAGACGGGGTTTCACCATGTTGGCCAGGCTAGTCTCAAACTCCTGACCTCAGGTGATCCACCCGCCTCAGCCTCCCAAAGTGCTGGGATTATAGGCGTGAGCGTGGCCCATGTGGTACTCTTAAGGTCCCACATGCTTTTTAGTATTTAGGTTTATCTTTCCATCATTTTGGGTTTCTGTCCCTTCATTCCTCAGTCCCCCAAATTCCTGCATGTGACTCCTAGGAACAAAGCCAGAGGGTAAATACTGTTTCCCTGTGGTGACAGGAACAGCAGGGGGGACAGACAGCAGCTGGCTGCCAGCCAGCTGACTCACCATGGTTTATCCCTTGATCCTTTCGCAGGAAAGACTGTGTGCTGTTTGCTGCTGGAGGTAAGTAGATTGTCTTTGGGCGTTTTGAATGGCTTTGAGGTGCTGCTGGCAGAGTGATGGCCGCTGAGACAGGCTTTTGTTTTCACCTGTACTAGTGATGTCCTGGGATTGGAGGCTGGAGACACTGGAGAGGGAGAAGGTCTACACATTGAACCGTGTCTTCTCTCTACAGGGGCAGAAAGTACAGAACTCAGCACAGCATCTGTAGCAGGTACACTCAAACACACAACAGGCAGAGAGAAGCACTTTCCCTGCAGCATCGGCATCCCTGAAGCCTAGGTTCTGATGAGACGATTTGTCTTGACATATGCTCCTATTCCACCAGCTAGCAATACTTATGTTCTGGGTTTCTGTATCAAATGGCGTACTCAACTAACATCAAGGTTCTCGCGGAAGGCATTTACCAGGTCATCTTTCTGCAAAACTACTTCCACAGGAGTAGCAGAGGGACACCAGGTATCACCTGAACAGTGGGATAACCCCACATAGCCAAAGCAATTCCTAGACAGCTACACAGAGGCCACAAGTCCATCAGAGCAGTGGACAGGGCAGGACTCTCAACAAACAGGAAACTCTCGAACCTGACGCTCTGCAGGAGCACTAAAGTAAGAGGGACCAGCAGGCTTGAATCAAAGGGACTTTGCGAGCGAGGAAGTGGCCCAGCAGCTGTCCTGGGACTGAGAGGACAGTGTCGACACACCCCTGCTATGGCCTCTGCGGGGTCCACAGAGGGCCACATGCAGGAGGATGTCAATGCTTGAGCCAGAATCTGCAATGTGGGGCATGGACTTGGGCCGGCGAGCACAACTTCCTGAGGTTCTACAGAGAATACCAGAGCTCTGGGCGAGATGCGTCACTTGTTCACGTTCTGTTAGCCCCTGTGCTTTCGACTGAATGGGCAGGATGAGGATACTGACCAGGACAGCAGATGCATGAAGTAAAGTTCTAGTGTGCACCCACTATGGGGTTCTTAATTGTTTTAGAGTAGCGAATCTGATAAAAATGTAAGACCCCAGCAAAATGCACTTTTACACCTATCCAAAAACTTTGTACATGATTACAGGAAGGAATCCCAAACCCTAAAAAAGACAAAGCTTCCTGAAATCCTAAGTCCTCTCTGGCTTTCTTATGTCTCACATATAATTAGTGCTTAATTAACATGTGTTGAATAAATAAATGAAATTATAACAGATCTCCTGAACTAGAGATCACAGATCTGAAAATCTGGCTGAATTTGATAATGCAAAATGTGACAGACAAAGATGGCAGATCATTCTCTCTCCAGCCCAAAGCTGAGCCTAGCCTTCTCTCATTAGGGCACCTTTCCTGGATGCTTTTGCAGGCACCCTGACCTGGGAGACGCAAGCCCCCACCTGTGGCCAGCTGCGACAGGAGTCTGGGGTTTCTCTGTGCTCCCTTGTACCAATGGGTTGCCAGGCTGTCTCAAAGCAGACTGAATTTAGTCTTCTGATGCAATGGGAATTAGGAGGAAGCAGATTTTTGAGGATCATTCAATTGCTGCATTTTTTTTGCTTGACCAGTGCTCATGCGCTGCCTACACAGAATAAATTTACAGGGTACTTTTTCCTCATTGAATCAGAATAGACCTTTGCATACAGCTTAGTTCTCAGAAGCTATCCTGTTGAAGCTTTTGAAAACAAAGAGCTAGTTCTGAGGCCTCTGTTTTGAGGGCTGGGAGCCGGGAGACCTGGGCTCCCGCTCTAACCACCCATATACAGTATTAGGCTTGGGCCTTCAGTTTACCACTGAAACTTCCTTGGTTCCTGTGCTATCTGTGAATGAAGTGGGTCCCTAGATGGCTTCAAAGCCTCCTTCCACTCAATCACCATAAATACAAGGGATACTTATACCTGTTCCTTCCCTTCTCATCCCTCATGATTCCTGGATGTCAGAGCAATAATAACAGCCGAAGTATTGAACAATTTTACTCAGGCGAGATCTTCCTTGGAGGAATTCATCCTTTGTAAAATTGTACTGGCCTTTACAACCCCTGTGAGACAGGCAGGAAGCAGCCAGGCATCTCCACCCTCCTCACGGCTGACTGGCCAAAGGAGACCCAGAGAGGTGAGATGATTGCCAAGGTCAGGGCTACTCAAGGATCAGGGTGCCTCTGCGCCAAGTACATGGGCCTAGCTGCCTCTCAGGAAGGCAGGAAACTAGGTGAATAACATTCGAAGCCGGGAAATTAGAAAATGCAGAACTTAGAATCACTAAAGGTTACAATTGGATCTTAAAAGTCAACTAGTGTGATCTTTCTGATAGATGAGGTTATCAGTTGCCAGCCTTCGGGTTAAAGCTAGTTAGCGGCAATCCTGAGACTAGAACCAAGTCTCCTAACTTCAAGTCTATCGACGTTCTGCCTCTCAGAAATGTCTTGTTTAGCAATTTGTTTTTCGGCAGAGGCTTCCAATATGAAAATAAGACTTGATTTTTACCATTACTGCTTTAGATGTTTCTGCAGTCTTCATTCACTCCCTTGTTATCACTGACTCAAAGCTGCTGGTGGGTGGGTGGGGCATGTACAGAAATATTTTTTGGTTTAGGTGGGGAGATAAACCTGAATAATGAAGATACATTTTATTTTACTAAACTAATTGTTAAAAAGTATGCAAGTAAACAAAGATAAATCACAAGGAAGGGTGCCATGAAGGACAAAATAAATGGGCCAGGCCAGTGATTCTACAATCACCTTCTGAAAGAATTCTGGTTAGTGGTCCTGGCTGACACATTCTGCTGCTAAATTTACAAAAAAAAAACCTTTTTTTTGAGACAGAAAAAAAACTCTGTTACCCAGGTTAGAGTGCTATGGCACGATCATGGCTTACTGCAACCTCTGCCTTCCAGGTTCAAGTGATCCTCCCAATTCAGCCTTCTGAGTAGCTGGGACTACAGGCGTGTGCCACCACATCCGGCTAATTAATATTATTTTTTGAGACACAGTCTTGCTCTGTGGCCCAGGCTGGAGTGCAGCGGCAGGATCTCATCTCACTGCAACCTCCACCTCAAGCGATTCTCTTGAGCCTGGGAGAATCAAGGCTGAAGATTCTCACGATCTCAGTCTCCCAAGTAGCTGGGATTACAGGCATGCAACATCATGCCTGACTAATTTTTATATTTTTAGTAGAGATAGGGTTTCATCATGTTGGCCAGGCTAGTCTTGAACTCCTAACATCAAGTGATTTGCCCGTCTCGGCCTCCCAAAGTGCTGGGATTATAGGCATATAGGCATGAGCCACTGCACCTGGCCCCAGTTAATTATTAATTAAAACTTTTTTTTGGTAAGGCCAGGCATGGTGGCTCATGCCTATAATCCTGGCACTTTGGGTGGCCAAGGTGGGTGGATCACTTAAGCCTGAGAGGTGGAGGTTACAGCAAGTTGTGATTGTACCAGAGCACTCCAGCCTGGCAACAGAGCAAGAATCTGTCTCAATTTGTTTTTGTTTGTTTGTTTGCAGAGACTAAGTCTCTCTAAGTTCCCAGGCTGGTCTTGAACTCCTGGGCTCAAGAGGTCCTCTTGCCTTGGCCTCGCAAAGTGTTGGGATTACAGGTGAGCTACCACATCTGGCTTACAAAACAACCGTATCAGTGGATAAGTCTTTTTCTTGGTTTCATATTTTATTTTTTGAGACAGTCTCACTCTGTTGTCCAGGCTGGAGTGTAGTGGCGTGATCTTGGCTCATTGCAAACTCCGCCTCCAGGTTCAAGCAATTCTCCTGCCTTAGCCTCCTGAGTAGCTGGGATTACAAGTGCACACCACCACGTCTGGCTTATTTTTGTATTTTTAGTAGAGATGGGGTTTCACCATGTTGACCAGGCTGGTTTCAAACTCCCGACCTCAAGTGATCCGCCCGCCTCAGCCTCCCAAAGTGCTGGGATTACAGGTGTGAGCCACCGCGCCTGGTTTCATATTTTAGATTCAGAAACTTGTCTTAAATTGCCAATTGAAAGAACAAGTTGCAATGAGGGAATATTAATTAAAACCTGAAGACAGCCCTTTGCCCTTAATATGTTTTTTTTTTTAGTTGTTTGATGTCTGATTTTGTATTGCAATAAATAGGCAAAAGCAGTATTTCCTACTTGTGAAACGGTTTGAATTAAATCAGAAGGGCTCTCACAACCCTTGAGCTATGGGAACAAGCTTGCCCCCTACTGGTGCAGGTGAGAAAGGTTGTATAAGAATTTAAAGGCCCGGCGCAGTGGCACACACCTGTAATCCCAGCACTTTGGGAGGCTGAGGCGGGTGGATCACCTGAGGCCGTGAGTTTGAGACCAGCCAGACCAACATGGGGAAACCCTGTCTCTACAAAAAATACAAAATTAGCTGGGCATGGTGGCACATGCCTGTAATCCCGGCTACTTGGGAGGCTGAGGCAGGAGAATCGTTTAACCCAGGAGGTAGAAGTTGCTGTGAGCCAAGATCGTACCATTGCACTCCAGCCTGGGCAACAAGAGTGAAACTCTGTCTCAAAAAAAAAAAAAAAAAAAAAAAAAATTAAAGTGGAGGGACCAATAGAGTCAGTGGTCAGGGGTTCACTCTGGAGGTGAGCTGTAGCTAAGCTTTTGAAAATGGGTAGAACTGATGTCCCAGGTAGGGCAGAGTGAGTGGATTTTACAAAAAGACCTATTCAATCTATGTTTCTCCAGTCTATGAAGACCTGCCTGTAGTGGACTTACACAGTTTTGTGTTGGTGAGGAGGTGTGTTAGGTTGGTGATAGGAGAAGGCAGGGTCTTATCTCTTGCAAAAAGATGCTGCTGAGTGAAGCTCTCCGGCTGTACATTACAATCATTTGGATACAAGCCCTCACCCACTTGAGGCTTAATCATGTCTTATGTTTTCATTAAGGGACTGCCTAAGGTAGATCCCTATAATTATTCTAATTCCATTTGCCCTGCCCAGAAAGAATTTGTAGTACATTATATCCCTCACTCATTGTTAAAATATTTAATACGTAAGCAATTTTAGAGAAAAAGAGCACTTTCCTCTACATTTTCTTAGTCTTTGTTAATGCATATAGCTTTATTAACAAAACTGTAATCAATGGATATTTTGACTATTCTTTGTCAACTAACATTCTACATATACATATCAAATTCCCACAAACTTGCTAAACTGTTAGGTAATATTCAATCATTAACATGGCGCA